GTAAGTAGAGTAGTACGACTAGACTACTAGAACTAAGTAAGTATATATATATATATATATATATATATATATATATATATACTATATATACTTGTATCTACTCCATTTGTTGCCAATCCTCTCTTTATGCACATAAGATCAGTGTCACTTTGATAAGCGTAATTAGCTTGAAGTCCTTCAGAGTCGTTGTCACACTCACCCTATTATTATTGGTGTAACTCTAAATGTTGCTGGAAGATATAGTTCTAGTTTCGGAAACCTTACGATGTCTTGATAATTTACGTTTAACTGTAATTATGAAATTTGAAAATTTAAAAATATTGTAAATTGAACAGATTTATAAATACTTAAAAATCTTGAAAATAAATGGTCCATATAACTTAATATTACAAACTTAATATTACAAGATACATTAATTTTTTCCCTTAATATCCATATCGAGATGATCAAGTTGGAAGGTTTTCAAACTTCATAACAGTCTTTTCTATTGGATTGTTGAGGTCCACCTTAGTTCTATTTCATAAAGTTGCAATCTTACCTTTTAGAAACATGGCTTTGAGCATTTTGTCCATTTACTTAGGTAAAACCCAACTTAGACTATTTTTAGGGCCGTAAATTTTAGGGATGTTTGAAGGGTAAAATCTCGGTGTTGAAAAAATCGAAATCCATTTTCTTTTACCTTTGAAATCAAACTGCTTATAATCTTTAGATGGATCCCCATATTTCAGATAAAAAACTCCTGGCAATCAGCTCTTTTGCCTAAGCGGACAAATGCACATTATGATCCCCTGGGAGCACCGCATATGTGCTCAATATCTTCTACTCGAGATCGAAACTTTATCATAGCCGGTTATATAGGAGAACTTCTTGACGTGTGATGGCAATGGCTGCCATGACACATAAGAAATGGAAAAAATAAACAAAGACTTGCAATTTCAAAACTAAATTTATAAGTGCCACTGATATATAGAACAATAAAGATAATGGTATCATAATGTGATATCGTTCTTTTCACAGGAAGAGAAAAGAGCAATATTGTGACGGATGTAATAGATGTTATGTATGAAGTTCGAAAAAAAAGAAAAAAAAGAAGGAAACAACAGATTTTATATAGGGGTGCAGTTGGCATTTGGATGCATTCGTAGCTGTAGAGGTAGTGCACCTTTAAATTTTGTCATGGTTTATAATTTTGATGTAAGATATTGTTAGTATTATCTCAAAATCTATTTTTATATCTAATTATAAAGTTTTAAATTTAAAAAATGGTTAAAATCAAATAGATCTATCAACACATGAAAATCTTGAAAATGAATGGTATAGATAATATGTTCTAAAGTGCACTATTTTTTAGACTTAAAATCCTTTTATTTTTCTTGGTCATACATCTCAATGTGGAGATGATCAGTCAAAGGGTTTTTCAATATTAAAACCACCTTTTCCGAAGGATTTTTGAGATGCATCCATAATTCTACATATAAGGTTGCATCCTTATATAAACGCTTTTGCGATTTTTTAGTGCTCTATTAGGAATTTTATTGAACACTTCGCAGATGTATTGTTTCTCACCAAGTTTTACAAACAAGTCAATAATTAGAGTGGGTACAATGCATCAAAATATGTTTCTAATGAAAAAGTCCGTGGTTCTATGGGGTTGTATTGCAAGAGAAATAGCAGCCCAAAAGCACTTCATTACCTCCTTATCTTGTGAAAAATAAGCAAACCAGCAACTACAGGAGACCTCCATATTCAAAATCTAGATTTTGAGAGTAGTTTTGAACTTGAGTGAAATAATGGGTTCTCAAAGAGGTAATCCTCCATCCATTCTTCAACAAAAAAAAGTGTCTTCCATCATTACCATTGCATCCCTAATAGGCGTCTTGAGAAAGAGGGAGGGAAAGGTGTGAGAGAATAATAACAAGAGAGAGAGGATGAGATAGTTTCCTGTGTTTCTTCCTGTATTTCTTTAGGAGAGAGAGAGTACGGGGGAGGGCAAGGCATGAGAGTTAGAGGGAGAGAGAATGGGGAAGGCAACGGGGGGAGAGAGAGCAGACGCGTGACAGAGAGGGGATAGAGCCAGTGGGCCAAATTCAAAATTACCTCGTTTTTTCGAAAGTTGTCTTTTGAAGTTTTTAGCGAAAAGTCTAAAATACTTTTATATATAGGCATTGGTCGTCAAATAATGTCGGAGTAGCAAGTGTAAAATGGTACTCCACAAGTCCCTCTAACTTGAACCTATGGTTTTTGGAGGGTTGTTAACTCTAGAAAATCT